AGCCATACGAGTGTATTTTGGCAGTATACAAGTTTGTTGATCAACTCCTGTATGGCTGTACCAATGTTACCAGATACAGATCTGGGCTATCACTGGTCGTTACCATCAAAAACTCGACTGATCGAACAGCCATGTATACACATTGTTGTCAGTTACATTGAGTGTTTGTCCAAATAGGTCGATTCAGATGGGTTGCATATAACTGACTAATCCAGCATTCATACATTGTCAAACAACCATAATGCACAATACCACCAAGTGTGTGATTACACCCGCACTGATCAGTCATTGCACAGTATGCATCAGTCAATGTCAAACATATGTGTGTCTGCAACTAAATTGCAGTCCATGACACATCCACACGATCCAACATGACAAATCATGTACCATCAGTCCAAGGTTGATCAAAAACATGATCATGGTAAACACAGCATGTTGTTGCATATCAGAGTCGATATATCAAGTGACAGTTGCACACTGGCTGATGGTGCACAGCGTATCAGTCACAATACATGCACGGTATTGCATTGCAGTCATTGGATGACAGTCATTTGCAATGTGATAGCGATCGACATACATCAGCATGGTGTGATGTGACCATAATCATGGTGGAATGTGTTGGAGTTGACATTGTGAGTTGACAATCAATACACCATGCACATGACTGGAACGTATATATTCGAGTGTGGTTTGGTTGGTGTCAGGTTGATCATGCAATCGCATCGGTGCAACGAGTGAGTGAGCTGATGGTGATCTGAACCCATTTCAACAACAAGGAGTTGACAGTTGTGGATTTGCTGTATCCAATATGTGTAGCACACCGTTATTGACTGTTGACTGTGTATGCAGGTCAAGTTACCACCAATCACTAACCAGATCCAGTGCGTACATGATCATTACTAGAATGACTGCCAACATATTCGTGTCTGAAAGTTGATTGTGAGTTGGTGGTTTGCAAGAATTGGACACAACTGACATGCTATTGGATATAGCAACCTGATTATAGTCCAGTTACATGGTGTGATAGTGGTTCGTGCAATACAACATCCAGATATTTGTAGTGTTGAACACGACGAATCTGTTGTTCGTGTAGCATCATATCAACTGGTAATTCGGAATCAAAGTGTTGTGACCACGGAAACTGAGTATGTTGCATTTGACTACACCAAAGCTTATTTGACATTGTTCCATCCATCGTGCAAGTACATCAGATGCCAACTGGAGTGATTGATCAGAGTCGGCAAATATCACGATATTGTCAGCATACATGAACCCTCACATTGATGGTGATTTACACGATACTCATGCAATGACAATCGGTTGATATCATCATGTATGTCGTTGATGAACATGTTGAACAGTAATTTGACAGTGGATATCACTACCGGGCTCCATGTTCAATTGGAAATGGGTTAGAAACCAATGATCCAGTCTGAGCATGAGCTGATGAGCATGTGTACAGCGCTGTTAACAAGACCAGTGTGCGTAGTATCAATCACATATGCTGTAGTTACCATATCAAGGCATCAACCATGACAGTGTCGAATGCATTTTGAATGTCAATCAACACAACAATAATATTGAGCTGCACGCACTGTCATCGTTGAACAATATCGATTAGTGTTCAAAGTTGTCTAGATTGTTGTTTTATTTGAAAAGGCAATCCTGGTCAAAAATCTTGGGATGGAATAGGAATGGTTGGTAACTTTCCATGCCAAATTCATACTTGATATACATGACTTGAATGATCATGCGAACTCCTGACTGTTTATTTTCAATCAGCCTTTGATTTCAACCAATTCAAACAACTTTAGGATCATTCCATTCCATTACAGCATCTGCTTCCATTCAAGAATACTGCTTTTGTGTATTGTTTTTGGTTACTTTGCTCAATAAAGCCAAAACAACTGTTGATCGTCAAGAGCACTCTTATCTTTTGAAATGACTAGTTGATTCTCTAATTTTCTCCTGGGATATATCAAAGCTTATATTGTACCATAATGTTCACTTGCGTGACATTTGGCATGACTGGTAAATTATATCGTAATGGACATTGTGTTTCTTATGGATCAGCTTTTGGGAAATCAATACAACTCGTTAAAGCCTTTTTGTCTGGTAAATACATTCACTCTGAAAATCAGTCTGATACTGTTTCACGATGTTATAAGCACTGACTTGAATCGACTCGAATGATTCCTGATAAAGGGACAAGATTATGATTACTAAAGACTTTGTAAATAGTATTTGACAGCTAAACTGCAAGCAACTAGTGTGTCGTAGCAAATTCCAATATCGTAAACATCGTTTGGATAAAGTTGGTCATATGAATGGAACAAGCGTTCAATATTGATACCCTTGACCAACAAAAAACACTCGTCTTGAATTCCGATTCTGGCTCTACCATAAATACGTTTTTACTCGTACTGCGAGTTTTTGTTCCCATACTAGATGAAATGAAAACAACAGTCATCCGAACAAGGAAACACAAGAGACAATTGAACGAGATTCTATTGAGTCGTTGTACTGGAAACAGTATCATCCACACTTTCAACTTTCCAATCAACACTGCAAGACATAGGAATGAAACACATATCCTTCACAGTCAATCCATGGTCACTCAAAAAACTCGTCATTTCTACATGGTATACTACAGTCAATTCCTCGTATTTTTAAACTACTGATTGCGATCGTGATCCAATCAAGCGAAATGCGCAAAAAGTAACCTTGGAATTTGATATGAAGCATATACCAGACAAGCAATTAATGAACTGGAGGAACAAGTCATCTTTTCTGTTTGTTTAAAGTTCAAATATTCAGTCATTTGTGTCCAAAATAAAGTCTAGTCCGTTTCTGCATCAAGAGTACCGAGTGAGCGGATCTTTGCAATGGGTTTGAAATTTTCTGTAATTGATATGATACTGTCGTTGTTTGTTCCTGTACACATGCAAATGGGGTTTGTTTTCCAGTCAATTGAGTAACAAGTAGAGACATGAATGAATGATAAACTGCTTGATCCTGTTGAAACATTGATTGAACATTGGTGCATTGACACAACTCTTGAATCTCATCCAACAAGAATACAGGTGGAGAATCACACTGGACTTTAAAAGCAATATTGGACAGTCATGTTTGGAAAGCAAGTTGTTTCTCCTGAAAAGTGCCAATATATCCAAATTGGCTGATCAGCTCAAATTGTATTGCATCAACTTCAGTCTCTTGAAAAAGACAGTACAAAAGTAAATTATTAGACGAGTGAAGAAAGTCGAAATATTCTCTTGGTTTGGCACTGCGAATGCCGAAATAGTCCAGCAAAATCAAAAGCTAAAATTCATATTCCAAAACATCTCCAATCAAACCACATTCAAGATCTGACATTTCGAGTTGCAACACATTTCATCAAAAGTCTCATTCCTCTGCTGGTACTGGTCATGATGGTTTGGTACTTGTCTTGTTGGCGCATTCGAATGGTATTGTTGTTTTGCTAGACTATCTCATCCCTACCAATAGAGTCTTGGGTTCAAAGTATTTCAAACAACCATCATTGGCAGATCCAAACAACGGAAACAAGTCAGACTAAAGTATAGTGCACCATGGGATTCAAAGCAGGATATCCACATCCATTTGCGCTTTTGGTATTACATTAGCAATACCTTGACTAGCATCACTCTTGGATTTGATGAGTGGATGTAGGTCGTTTAAAACAAGACTATTCAGTCGAGTAAGAGGACAGCATGGATCAAGAGTTGTGTCAGTTGCTCCAGAAGAAACGAAATAGTCTTTATCAAAAGCAGATCTATCAACCCATCAGGCAAGTGGAGTTTGTCAACAGGAGTAGTGTCAAAACGAGGAGTGACAGTCTTGTAAGTTGGACCAAGTGAGCAACAGTAGAATGGTCTTTCCAGCTCCTCAATAAAATGAGGTTCAATAGGCACTGGTTGATTATCAAGGTGATCGACACAGATTTCTGGTTTCCATTTTGAAAAAGTTTCAGACGACTCGAATCAAAAGCCTCGCCAGAATAGTTCAAACATTGATGACTGAATACGTTGTAATTACAGGTGGGCAAGTCGATTGTTAATTCTTTAGTTTGATCTTGGAGTGACATTGTTCTTGAGATGGCTAATCAAATAAAAGTAAAGCTTGAAGAGTTGAATATTCAACAATCCAGCACTAGACTTTATTTCTTGAATATTATTATTAAAAGAACAATGGCATTTCAACAGCAACTACACAATATTCAACTATTATCGACATGATTGGAGTATTGAACATCAAGTTTGATATGCGGTGTCATTGAATCATCTGGTTGTCCATATGATTGTCAATCACCAAACGTGTAGTTGTCAATGTTCAGATCCAATATAAAACAGATGACCATTGGTGATGAGATTGTCATGCAGTATTGATTTACAAGTGCTGACACCAAATCACAATGTATTTGACAAACACACCTAACGAATATTACCGTATAATTGGTTTCAATTAACATCTACGGCCATACACACAAGAAAATACCGGATCCCGTTCGATCTCCGAAGTCAAGCTTGTGATGGCTCAGTCAGTACTGTGGTGGGGGACCACACGGGAATACTGAGTGCTGTAGTTTTTGCTAAATTAACAATCTGATCTCGTTTTGGATGTTTTGGATCAAATCTCAACTTGAATCTTTATGATGGTTGTGTTGCAACTGGAAAGCAAGATTTTCATTTGATAAACTATTTGACAGTATCTTAATATGGCGTGTATACTGTGTTCACTACATGATGGTTCATTCCATTTGTCTTGCAAATAATCGGTATCTTGTCCACTCAATAAACACCGTTTATTACCAAATGGCAGTATCTTGCACTGTTTTTGACTGTGATTGCTTTGAAATGACTGAATGGATCGCATCACTCACCATGCTTCACACCAACGTAATTGTAAATCATAGTATGTCATACACATCCATAAATAAAAGTATATCAAGCTACATATCAATAGATTCATTTTTGCTATTCTTATTCGCGATTACGCTGGCGTGGAGCACAGCGAATGATGTTATCTACTCGCAAGATCATCTCAGCGGCTTCCGAAGCAGACAAGAGAACTTGCCTCTTAAGTTTAAACGACTCAGTAATGCCAAGAGCACGCACATCTGCAACAGCACCGTTGTACATATCTGATTTGGGTTCAAACATAAAATTTAAATGTTAATACTATCTTGACAAATATTGCCATAGCAAAAACCTAAAATAACCCATCAATTACCAAGTCCAGAGGTAGCCTTTCCATTGGCATGAGAAGCACGAAGTTTTGAAACAAGATCGGCACTATCGTAGCCAGCATTGTCTGCAAGAATCATGGGAAGCTATCGTAATAAGTTGCGCATGTCAGTTC